TTATTTACTATCTATATTGAAGAGTTTTACTTTTAAAAGGAAATAAGTAATTAGACTCCAGTATATTGGTCATAACATTACATTTTATTTTATGACATTTTAATTGAATGTTTTGAATTTAATTTGCATCTTGGGAAAGTGAACAATGAAATATAAATAATAATTAGAGTGAGGACAGCACCATGCAATAGAAATATCTGTGGTAATGGACCTATTCTATACCTGCGCTATCCACTATGGTAGTCAGTAGCCATGTGGGCCAAATATGTCTAGTGTGACCAAGAAACTGCATTTTCATTTTTACTTTATTTTAATTAATTCAAAGTTGAGTTTAAATAGCCATATTGGGTAGTCCAGCTATAAAAGAAGCAGGTCCTCAAGAAGAAGAAAGATAATTTATATTTCCATATCATTCTAGCACAGGTACTATTTACACTTTTTAAACTTTGCTCTTTGGCCAAGTGTCCTCTAATTAGATAGTGTGTGATCTGGAATGTGTGTGTGTCTGGATGGATGGATTTTTTAAGCATAGTGCAATTAAAGCTGTTATTTGTTACTTTATTAAACTTGACTTTCACTTTGTTAGTCTTCACCTATGTTAAATGATCAGCCCAAATCTTCTCTTCATTGCTAGAAAGTTTTAAATGAGCCACCTTGTAACCATGGATGAAAGTTATATTCTCTTCAACTAGGCTTACACTGAAATTGACAATGTCTAGGCCTGCAGAGCTCAGAAAACACAAGTGACTTTTAGGAAAATGGAAGGGAGCTTATCTGTCATATAAGAAAACTGCTAGACCAGAGCTAAACAGACAGGGTCTGCTTTCTGAGCCATGGGGATGGGGCATGTGTGTGTGTTGGGAGGGCCTCTATAGATGCAGATCCTTTTTAAATTAAAGGACAATGGTACCAACATTTTACTGTAAGACTATATAAAACTATATAATCTCAGCTGTACCACTGATTATAAATCATCTTTGAGTACTGATTTCTTCACCTTTAAAATGAGGGAGATGTGTTTTTATGATCTTTTGGGTCCCTTGTAACACTGGCATTATTGAAGCTATATCATATAAACACTTCTTACATGTATGGAAAGAGAAAAGGCCTTGAGGTTATCTCATTTCAGCAGTTTGCTTTTGAAGCAATGCCAGAATAATTACATTTGACATTCCAGTATTTCATTTTCTTTCCTTCAGATGAACACAAATAAACAGAGCAGATATGTAGAAAACTTTTAAGAATTACTTGTATTTTATAGAGTAAGGAGCACATGTGTAGAATAACAGATCTACAAGAAGAATTAAGACACAGAGAGCATCACATCTCTGACTTGGATAAGGAAGTACAGCACCTTCATGAGAATATAAGTGCCCTAACCAAAGAACTGGAGTTTAAGGGGAAAGAAATTCTCAGAATACGAAGTGAATCTAACCAACAGATAAGGTATGCCATTCATTACAACAGAAGGAGTATGCAGTATTATCTGAAAAACTGTTCCCATGATAGTTAGCAAATTCATGCCTGTTTTTGTGACTAGACTGCTCTCCTAGTAAGATATTGAAGATCACTTTTTACTTTAATGACCGTTATAATCCAGAACATAGATGAAATGTTTATGTTTTGAATGATGTATATATATTCATGAACTTTGGAAATTGCACATAATTAACTAAAATCTCTTAAAAATGTTACTTGAAAAAGCATTAAAGGAGACAACTTTAATACAAGCTAGAAGATTATAGCAAAGTAAGTAGCTTAATTTAGGCTGTATACATTAATTTTCTATGTATTATACCAAAACCATTTCAAATCTGGTAGAATATAGAAAGTTTTGAAAGCTTGACCTCAGAATAACATTTTCTTAACTAAAAATAAATTAAACAGGTTGCATGAACAAGATTTAAACAAGAGACTTGAAAAAGAGTTGGATGTCATGACAGC